TTGAGCTAGGATGACTGCAAAATTCAACCCACCTTGACACTTTAGGTTTATCTTAACTTTAAAAAGGAAGTCAAAAATGTGTTTGTCAAATGAAAATCAAAAATGCTTTGGAAGCTGGGCAGAGGTGGCACACTCCTTCAATTCCAGAACTTGGGAGGTAGAGGCAGGTGGATCTCTGTGAGTTCGAGGTCAGCATGGTTGACAAGGGCTAGTTTCAGGACAGACTCTAAAGCTACAGAGAAACCCTGTCTTGAAAAACCACAAAAAATGTTTTGGAGAAGAGATTTTGCTTTTGGTTTCATGGGAAACAAGAGGCTGTGGACTTGACCTAGGTTCATATTGATCAGATTTTATCAGTAAAGAAACTCTGAATCGTTACAGGTGATATATATTGACAAAGTATATAACATGTCCTATCCGTTCTTAGCCTTATTCAGGTTTTCAGTGGGCAACTGCTTTAAAATCAGAAAAGGCTGATTCAGTAATCACAAATTTATTAGAAGTTATGGCCATTATGGTATACCTGCACAAAGAAAGACAGATAATGGTCCAGAAACTGTCTCTAGGAAAATGAAATAGTTGTTTGCTTATTTTAATATCAAGCATATTGCAGGTATACCACACAATCCTACAGGTCAGGCAGGTATACAGAGATCAAATCAAACTATAAAGGATATGTTAAACCATCAGAAAGGGTGGAAAATGCTCTCAGAAATAGATTAGATTATACTTTATTAACGTTTAATTATTTTAACGCTAATGAAAAAGGGACAACAACAGCAGAGAGACATTGGATAATAGAACAGTATTCTGAATTAAATCAACAGTTTTATTTCAAGGATAAGTTAACCTTACCATGGAAGGACTGGATTTGTGTTATGTTGGGGAAAGGTTTTTGCTCTTGTTTCCACAGGAGAAGGAAAATTATGGATACCATCAATATTAATAAATATTCAGTTTGCAAAAGAAAAAAACTCTTGAAAAAAGAGAAATGACAGCTCACCCACAATGGTGACAACCATACAGATAGTAAGGAAACCTCAAAAGGGTTGGGGTAGTGTTCAGTTCTTGTCTTTGCAGACAAAATACTCATCTTCAAAAATTCAAGAGACCCTAAATGTTTGGATTCTGACAGAAGAAAAAAATAATTATTCAATAAGGATCAACAGAAAGACAAATATGACTCCTAAGAACAGATATATAACATATATATATATGTATGTATGTATATGTATATGGAGCTAGCTTTGGAGTTGGACACTGGTTCTGTCCCTCTCTAACTCCAAGCATGTTGTTAAAATAAAAATTCAGAATTTCTATCTCATGTCAGGAGCCATGATATGGGATGGAAAAAAAGAATTTAGAGAACATCTTACTTTTTTTGTATTTATTTTGTTTCTATCATACATTTAATTGAATATATATGTCTATATAAATAATGTTTAAATTTTACACCCTGAACAATGAATTTTCCTGCAGTAATCTTTGAAGTTTCCAGGAAAAAGATGGGGACCCACAACAACAGCTCCAACTAGTTGATAGGACTTCATAATGCTGATAGTGCTACTACAAGACCTGTTTTGTGTACCAACTGCTCAATTTGATTCCAACTTGCTTAGCTGAAATGGTGTACTTTTTACAATATTCTGGCCAGAGTTCGAAATAGAAAGCTCAAAAAAACCCTACCAAATGCTCAGAGACTCTTTGCAATTATACTAGACAGTAATCTTGGAAGTATCCATCATTTTACTTTCATAGGATCCCATAGAAAGAACATCATCCCCATGACAGCTGGAAGAAATTCTATTTTTTTTTAAGATTTTATTTATTTATTATGTAGACAACATTCTGCCTCCATGTATGCCCGCATGCCAGAAGAGGGCGCCACATCTCATTACAGATGGTTGTGAGCCACCATGTGGTTGCTGGGAACTGAACTCAGGACCTTTGGAAGAGCAACCAGTGCTCTTAACCACTGAGCCATCTCTCCAGCCCCTGGAAGGAATTCTAGAAGATGATGTCCCCTTTCCCAACAAAGTTTGTCCTCGGGTTAGGGATATCATTTTGGGGTTCATTATAATTGGTATAGTGTTGGGGTTTGCTGGGGAATTTTATCAGCTCAGGAATCTCTTTGAAAAAAAGGAGGGAATTGGATGGGATAATAGATTAGTATGAGCTTACTCACACTAATAATAATAGTGAGTAATAGAGTGAATACTTGTGAGTTATTATTTATAGGTAATTGCAGTGGTATGGATTCTTGTATATTGACACATAGTTAAATTATATTGAATATGATATGCATGCATGCTTCTACCTCTGCTTAAAACACTTTTTATATATTGATATATATTTATCACATTGCAACGTGCATTTCTACCTCTGATCAAGTTACTTACACATTGTTTACATTTTGAGGTTATTGTCTTCATTTGTTGCACAGTTGTTTATTGTATAATATTCTAATATGAAGTCTTAGTCTTTAAATTATATAGGTATTGAGAATTATAGATCAATAGTTCTCTATGTTTGTCATACTTATAGTTAGACTAAGCAGGTTGTTTAGATACATAGATAGGGAATCTTCAGTCACTTCAATGACCTGTAGAATATGGCATTTAAATAACTTACGATTCTGTTGAAGTGAAACACTATTGCTCCTGGTAGCACCCATCTATTCGCGAGAGATTGTTGAACGTCGAAGACACTCCCACTTAGAGCTTATTTTCTTCTTGACAAAACTGGCCTCTGGGTAAAGAAATGTCCATGCATCAACCGCTGACAAGATAAATGGTATCTAAAAATGGATAAGCAGGTCTGTCAAATCTTGCAAAACAGGGTAAGACAGTTGTGAAAATTTTTCTGCCTCTGAAAATGGTCTGTCAGTTATTCTGGCCCTTAGCCAATGTTGTCTGCTTCAACATTGCAAATGAGACTTTGGGTGATTGCTCACGTAGCCAGTTGTCTCTGTCATTTGTTGCACATTTTGAAATTTACTTGATTGCACTTCTTGCTTACTCAAGTAATATATTTTCCTTCTTAGATCTTCAAATGGGGTTGAAGACCAGATAGTAGTAGTTACTTTCCTCTCATGACTGGACGAAGTTATTTATTATACAAGACTTAAATTAGTTAGGATAGAATAATTATTGAATATATTTGTTCTTATTGTATATAATTTTGTATTAGGCTTACAACTCTCTAATTTAAACAAGAGGGGAGGTGCTGTAGGAAGTCTACAGCCAGTGGTTATCTGCCCACTGGGGCGTGAACTCTTATACTATATATGTCGCTGTAGAGCATGCATCCAGCCTCTCTTTTCCAGCTATGAAATTTGGTTTCTGATCTCCGTACAAGCAGAGGATTCTGATTTATGAGTCTACTCCTATATAAATAAACATTTATTTCTCAGTTCTGAGCTAGTGTTGGATTTCTTTTAAGTGTCCTTTCCAAGAATCATTAAATGTGAATCATTGAAGTTTCTAAATGCATGTTGACAATGAACCAATAGTGACTGGGTTCAGAATGTACTTGACCGAATGAATAACCTCCTAGAAATGATCATGTATTTGAACAAGTTTCTCTCCTTGGTGGTTTTCTCTCAATTTTGGTGAATCTTTAGTAGGAGAAGCCTTTCTAGATGAAATTCCTCATTGTATGTGATCAGTTTCAATCCCTAAAGTAATTTCCTGATATTTATATTCACTGTGTTGTGCTTGACATTAATCAGCGAACTTCCTACCTTACTACTGAAATACTTTTACCATCATTATAATCTTGATCTCTAAGTAACATAAGATGTAGCAGAAACAGTTGGTATTCAGTGCTAAGGGGTTTGGTAACCTGCTGCTTTAATTGTTTTGTTTGCTTATCTAAGTAGTTTTTGCTGTGTGGCTACAAATTCCTGAATGAAAAGGGAGGGGCATCATTCTTGTCTCTATTTGGTTTTATGTTATTGGATGATGTCCCTGGAATGTAGGTTTTTTTTTTTCATGTCAAATATAAGCTGTTATGCTTTGCTTCATGCTTATCTTGAATTTTAAAATTTGACAGAGAATATCACTCTGATTCCCAGGGTGCCATATATTCATAACATTAATACTGCCTGAGTATTCTGAGTCATTAAATTGTAGTTGAATGAAATTTTTCATGATTGTTATACTTGCTTTGATTTTTTTTTTAAATCAATATGACTATTTTATATGTCTGCATGGATATGCACCTCATGGGTACCTGGTCATCAGAGTGATCCAAGGGTCTCATAAATCCTGAACATGGAAAAATGGAAAGTTGTGAACCCCATGTAAGTACTGGCAAATGTGTCCACCCCATTCAAGACATGCAAGAGTGCTGTATTATTCTTCCCTCTCTCCAGCTCTGTGTTGGTTATTTATGACCAACATTTATATTTCTATTTGTTTTCATCTGTCCATTTGTAACTTTTTTTAAACAGACAGTTCCTTTCTAGAAAATGTTACTAGTATTGTAGTTTCAATTATGGTACTTCAGGGGTCTGAAAGATGAATACAGAACTGGAGTGAAAGCAAAACTCTTGGTAGGAACTTCAATAAGTGCCTTTCAGTTCTTTCTATCCCATTCTTTCACTTAATTTTGCAATGGAGACAGGGTCTTAATGTGTACTTCCACCTATCCTGAACCTGATTGCATAGACTTGACTGGCATTCCACTCAGAGACAAATATACCCACCTCTGTTTTCTGAGTATTTTGGCTAAAGGCACAGTACACCCAGTTTGTCCATCGTTTTTTTTTTTTTTTTTTGGCAGTCTGTCATTTTTCATACACTTTTCTCGGTATTGTTGATCTTTCTCCTTGTCTCTCCCTGTTAATAAACATTGCTCTTATAAGGTGAAATCCCATTCAAAGTGTAGAGGAATGACAGAATTGACTCTCCTTTTCAATTTCCTTCTAAAGTGATTGTCTATGTCATGGAATAAGAGTGGGGAACACCAGAATCATATGACCATACTGTCAAAGAAGTATGTATCTCCAATGTTGTCACTGGGCCGTGACATATGATGATGTGCATATCAACTTCACTCAGGAAGAGTGGGATTTGCTGGATCCTTCCCAGAAGAATCTCTACAAAGATGTGATGCTGGAGACCTACAGGAACCTCACTACTATTGGTAAAAATAAATTTCTTTCATGTTTTAAAATATGAAGACAACTTTTCCTTGGTTAATGATATTCTATACTTTGATTTAGAAAGAAGAAGAAGAAAGTAAATAATGCAGTCAATAGTTCTTAGGTTCACTTAAGATAATAAGCTAAATGTTACACAATGTTAAATAATATAACATTCATATCTTGGTACTGTATTTTAGGATACATTTGGGAAGACAACAACACTAAAGAACATTGTCAATGTTGTAGAAGACCTGCAAGGTAATTTTGTTGTGAACATTGATAACAGTGTGCCTCTGATGAGATTTTAATGTGTCCTGGAACAATTAATCAAAAGCAACAGTATAAAGAAGCACAGCTTTATATGCATTGATGGTTATTAATTTCTCACAAATCCATATACCTCAATTCCATGTATGTGAAATGTATTTGCAAGGCATTCATTTAAGAAAGAAGTCTAGAAATCAATGCCTAAACAGATATTATCATTTGAATCATAGCACCATGAAAGCTAAAGTAGATCTTCCAATCATTTATTTCTTGCTATTCATGAAACAAAAAGTATACATATTTCAGTGTTGATAAGTGTATCTGCAAAACTTTCTACTAAATCAAAATCCCATAGTAAGTCTTATATTACTCATATACTTTTTGGGATTGTGCTAAGTTTAGTGAAAGCAGCATTAGAGTCAAGGGTCAAGGGGCAGTTGTTGTGGAGAAACCTTAATATGTATACCACAGGTCTGTGAAGAACAGAATGTCAAACCATGAGAATTCAGTGTGGAAATATTTTATTCACTATTATTCCTTTACTATGTGTATCATATGTGACTCTTGATGCAAGCATATGAGCAAAGGGATATGGAAAGATTTCACACATATCTCCTTAAGAACAATTAGAAGATAACCAGTTTTTCCCATGTAGAGTATACTTGTTGATTTTGATTCAAGTATACAAGTAATTGGCTTTCTACCATCATTAATACATCAAGAAACTCACATTACAAAAAAGCCCCATGAGTTCTAGGTCTCTGCAAACTCACCTGGGTCTCCTAGTTCACTTAGCAAGTGTAATATGATTCACAGAATAGTAATATTTCTGAATGCAGTAAAAATGGTAATGCTCTCACTCCATCCAGTTCTCTTGAAAATTGTAAAAAATGTCATATAAAATGTTTTTGTAAAGGTGAAAAAGTAAACCATGAAACAAAGGAATTTACAATCACACATATTCTTCGAGATGCAAAATGGCCCCTAATGAAAGAATGAAGTGATTTTAAACAGAGTTATAAAATCTTAATACGTGATTCCTCTTTGCAATTGGAACTAATTATAAAATTTATTCATATAAATATGGGGTTCAACAGTGTATTGAGTGTGGTAAAGCTTTTATATGTGCCAATTTTCCTTGCAGGATTGAAAGAAATCAAACTGGAGAGAAACATTCAGTATATACTCACTCTGCTAAAGCCTGGTCTTATGACACCCACCTTCTAAGGAATGAAAATACACATGCTGGAGAACAACATTATGAAATTAAGCAATGTGGAAAAGTCTTAGCTCATCACAGTGATCTTCAAGTGAATAAAGGGAAATACACTGGAGAAAAACCCTGTGAATACACTCAAGGTGCTAAAGACTTTGTTCTTTATGAGACTCATCCATGTCATAAAGGAACATATACTGGAGGGATACCATATGAATATAATCTGTGTGGTAAAGCCTTTGCTGATGACAGTAGTCTTCATAGCCATAAAAGAACACTTAATGGAAAGAAACCCTATGAAGGTTATCAATGTGGTAAGGCCTTTGGCAGGCACAGTTATCTTCAAAGGCATAAAAGATCACATACTGGAGAGAAACCCTATGAATGTAATCAGTGTGGTAAGGCCTTTGCATTTCAGCGTTATCTTCAAATGCATAAAAGAACACATACTGGAGAGAAACCCTACAAATGTAATCAGTGTGGTAAGGCCTTTGCACGTCACAGTCATCTTCAATTGCATGAAAGAACACATAGTGGAGAAAAACCCTATGCATGCAATCAGTGCGGTAAAACCTTTTCATGTCAAAGTGCTCTTCAAAAGCATAAAAGAACACATACTGGAGAGAAACTCTATGAATGTAATGAATGTGGTAAGGCCTTTGCATTTCAGAGTTATCTTCAAATGCATAAAAGAACACATACTGGAGAGAAACCATATGAATGTAATCAGTGTGGTAAGGCCTTTGCACGTCACGGTCAACTTCAAATGCATAAAAGAACACATACTGGAGAGAAACCCTATGAATGTAATCAGTGTGGTAAGGCCTTTGCATGTCACAGTCATCTCCAAAAGCATAAAAGATCACATACTGGAGAGAAACCCTATGAATGTAATCAGTGTGGTAAGGCCTTTGCATTTCAGAGTTATCTTCAAATGCGTAAAAGAACACATACTGGAGAGAAACCCTACAAATGTAATCAGTGTGGTAAGGCCTTTGCTCGTAACAGTCATCTTCAACTGCATGAAAGAACACATACTGGAGAGAAGCCCTATAAATGTAATCAGTGTGGTAAATTGTTTTCACGACTCAGTAATCTTCAAATGCATAAAAGAACACATACTGGAGAGAAGCCCTATAAATGTAAGCAGTGTGGTAAAGCATTTGCTCATCACAATACTCTTCAAACACATAAAAAAACACATACTGGAGAGAAACCGTATGCATGTAATTTGTGAGGTAAAGCATTTGCATGTCTCTGTCATCTTCAAATGCATAAAAGAACACATACTGGAGAGAAACCTAATGAATGGTTTCAGTGTGGTAAGGCCTTTGTGTGTCATAATAATCTCCAAAAACATAAAATAAACCATTCTAGAGAAAAACTATAAATTTAGTCAGCGTAGTCTTCAAAAACATGAAAAAGGTCATACTGGAATTAAACTCAATAAAATGATTTCAATATGGTAATGTTTTTCACCTATATAGGAGTAAAACTTTGTGTACAATCAATCTGATAAATATACTTGTAATACTTGCATATTACAGTAGTTTTTGCATACCTGAAAAAGATTCTGAGGACTTTTTGTTATAAATTACGTTTTACGATTTTAGCAAACATGCAGTTATTTAACCAACAACATTTGTTCTGTAGAAAAATGAATTGACAGTGTCAACAATCTATTCAAGCTTTATGATATTTTTATTTTGTTTGTACCAGCAAACCTATGGACAAAACTGAATTCATGAATTTGTGAAGCCCTATGGGTAGAATAAAGGGCCAGTCAAAGAAACACACCCTGGTCCTGAAACCAGAGCCAAAGAAATACACTTTGTCCCTAAATCTATAACCAGTGAAAGAAACATTATCACCCTGAAAACAGAGCCAAAAATTAAAAAGGGCAGGGGAAATAAACACATGTTGACACTCAAACTAGAGCAAAATAAACATGCTTTGCCCTTGGTAAATGTGCATAAAAAATCAATCAACCCCTGAGTGTAAAATCCAGCCCATCTCTGAGCTTGTTCTAGCTCAGGATTGAAATCTGAGCAATTGCCACCCTTAGTGGCCTCCATAGCATCCCGTACATCATGTCTCCATGAGTGTGAGGCCAAAACCTGAGAGAACAGAATTCCTTCATTGCTGGAGCCCAAGGGCCAAACTGCTGCTGGTAAATGCGGTGCTGCAAATCAGGGTTGAGAGCACAGTTCCTTGAGGTACAGTCACTGGATTAAATGTAAAATATCAGTGTGGCCCTCCTGTGGTGACTGCCAGTCACCACAACCCCACAAAAGCCCTCTGTCTGCCATATTGGATCTTCCTCTCTCCTCTGGGACTCTCAGTGAGGTAATCTAAAAAGAGAAAGGGAATTTAAAAGCAGGGAAAGTGAAAGAAGCTGCACCCCCTGTGTTCTAGTTGGTTTGTCTGACTCAACAAGAGTCAAAAACTTCAAGACAGTGACATAAAGCAGATTTTCTGCAGATTTGGTATCCATCTTCCTAAAGATATAACAAAGAGAATGTACAGAATGATCAAGTAATCAAATGGACAATGGGCGTATATGCCTTCAATCCCAGCACTCAGGAGGCAGAGGCGGGTGGATCTCTATGAGTTTGAGGCAAGGCTGGTCTACAAAGAAATTTTCTGGACAGCCGGTGTGGTTACACAGAGAAACCATGTCTTGGGGAAAAAAAATTAACAAAAAAACTACCCACAAATTAATAAACAACTCTATTTAATTAGGGCCAGCATGTCTGTCCCTTGCATTTAACTATGCTAGCATATCACACTCATCTCTAAATCTAAATAATACACCTTACAATTTCATTTACAAAGGAAATACTTGAGGGTGAGGGATAAAAGCTGGAAGGATGACTCGACAGTTAAGAGCACTTACTGTTCTTGTAGAGGATCCATATGCACAGGGCAGCTCACAACTCAGATTCAGGAGACCCACTGCCCTTTTCTGGCCTCCAAGGGCACTGCAAACACATGGTGCATATATAGATAAGCAGGCAAATATTAATTACATAAAACTATATATATATATACTTTTTGATTTTTTAAAGATTTATTTATCATGTATACAATATTCCTCCTGCATGTATACCTCTATGCATGGAGAGGACAGCAGACCTCATTACAGATGGTTATGAGCCATTATGTGGTTGCTGGGAATTGAACTCAGGAACTCTGGAAGAACAGCCAGTGTTCTTTACCTCTGAGCCATCTCTCCAGCCCCTATATATACTTTTTGAAATAATATACTTCTACTTTCAATGTGTACTAAATATTTAAGTTTTAAATTTTTAGTATGTGTTTTAATTTATTCTTTTTTGAGACAAGGTCTTAAGTAACCCTTGCCTGATCTAGAACTCACTATGTAAACCAGTGTTCTGCCTGCCTCTGCATGGGAAATTTTTGTGTATATGTATTGCTTTGATTGGTTAATGAATAATGAAGTTGCGTTTAGTCAATGGCTTAACAGAACGTAGCCATGCTGGAAAGGAAATAAATGGAGAGTAGGTAGAATCAGAAGAGAAACAATGTACCTGCCACAGGAGAAAGACACCACCGAGTGCTGATATTAAACGCTTATACCACTATGTACATCCTTTAAGCCACGCGACAAATATTTATGTATCTTTCGTAAAGACACCTAAGCACGTGTGTCTCTCTGTTTAGTACCTACCTTAGATGTACATACCTTCCCCCTCTGTCTCTTTGAATTTTGCTGAAATATTCTCCTGTGGTATAGCCAAGGATTCAATTTTACCCAAGTGGTGGTTCCTAAATAAGGCTCTTTCCAAGGCATTGATAGCAATCCTGGACTGAATCTTCCCACTGAAGTTGATACAAGCAGGCCAAAGGGTAGTTACCAGGACTCATGGATATCTTCCAATCAGTCTGGGTATGCTACTTTTAATTCAGTCTTTGCAAGGATATCATCATCCCTTACACACTTAGTGAATCACCTTTTTTTTTTAAAAAAAAAATTGTGCCTATTGTTAAATAAAAATTGGGAGGGGCGGCCGGGCCGTGGTGGCGCACGCCTTTAATCCCAGCACTCGGGAGGCAGAGGCAGGAGGATCTCTGTGAGTTCGAGACCAGCCTGGTCTACAAGAGCTAGTTCCAGGACAGGCTCCAAAACCACAGAGAAACCCTGTCTCGAAAAACCAAAAAAAAAAAAAAAAAAAAAAAAAAAAAAAAAAAAAAAAAAAAAATTGGGAGGGGGTAATAAATCAGTATGAACTTTTTATACAGTAGTTGGGCAACAAACCAGGCACATTCTGGAAAATTGTGGTGAGATACTAACAGTTGCTTCCATTCTGGCCAGTGTGGTTACAGATAACTACTATTCTTTTCACCTTTTCAACAATGTTAGATATTTAAGTAAATATAACCTTGAACCAAAGAAAGGATGGTATTCTTTTTAAGAAGTTGGGAACACCTTGCTCCAGACAGATGGGCTCTGTTGGGGTATAAGTGATGAAGATGGTGATGCAAGCTCAGCCATATGGGAAGACAGAGAGAGAGGGTCAAAAATAAAAACAGGAAATATTGACAGGGATGAATAAAATAGTTGGGGAAGGACATATGTGGAATAGAATATGTGATTTACCTATACTATTTGCCATCCTAGAAAAGGGTGAGGAAGAGGGAAGACTGTGGGCTTCAGGAGATTTCTTGGGTAGAGATGCTACTGCCGTCTACTGTGGTGCAAAAAGTATGTGCAACAGAGGTAGCCTGTGCTTCCTTGGGCATCATCTCATGTACGATAAATGCAGACAACAAGTGTGTGCAGGCCTTCCCGGGGAATTAACAACAGAAGCTGAGAAAAAAATTGACTTTGATTGAAGAGCAATTACAGGAGGCACATGTGGATTGTGTGGATCCTAATCTTTTTTTTTTTTTTTTTTTTTTTTCGAGACAGGGTTTCTCTGTGACTTTGGAGCCTGTCCTGGAACTAGCTCTTCTAGACCAGGCTGGTCTCGAACTCACAGAGATCCGCCTGCCTCTGCACTTTCTGCACTGCACTTCTAAGCCGCAGCGTAGAAGAGTAGAATTGGTGATATAAAGGATTTGCCAATGCCTCTGCCTCCCGAGTGCTGGGATTAAAGGGATGCGCCACCATCTCTTGGCAATGGCAGATCCTAATCTTAACTGCATTCTGATCATATACACTCCATATATCCCCCTACAGGAATTTTAATGCAGAGGGAAGATCTTATCTTAGAATGAATCTTTTACCATATAAACTGAGTAAAAAACTTAAAATATTATGTGGAAAAGGTCACTGAATTAATTATAAAAAGAAAATTGAGACTCTGTCATTTAGTAGAAATAGACCCATCAGAGATTATAATACCTTTTACTAATGATGAAATTTTAAAAATTATGCGAAGACAATGAACCCTGACAAAGACTTTGTACAAAATTTTGAGAGATATTAATAGCAACTATTCCAAAATAATAGAATTTTAAAAATAACTACTTGGATCCTTCCTCTCTTTGTATGTGACACACCAGTAACTGGAGCTTGTAATTCTATACTTATGCAAATAAATCAGGATAGGCAGGTTACAAAGTAGATTGAAGTAAGGTAGAACAAAGCCACTATAATTCTGCATAAAAGTCAGAATTACATGCTATTCTCATGGTACTAAGGAATTATAAAGAACCTCAGTATACTTACTGCTCTGCAATATGCAGAAAGAGTTATTTTGCATATTTTAACCACTGAATTTATACTGGATAATACAGAATTGACTTCATTATTTATTCAGGCTCAAGATATAATCAGGAATACACTTTGCCTCATATATGTAACACACATACAATTCCATATGGTTCCACCAGGTCCTCTGGCACAAAGTAATGCAGAAATTGATCAATTATTCTTTGGAAATGTGCTGATGGCCTCAGAATTTTATTAAAATATGTCAATAGATCAAGTTTAAAAAACTCCTTTTCTATTACATGACAACAAGCTAAGGAGAGTATAAGGAGATGTCTTACTTGTTCTTTATATAACCAAAAATCACTACCTGCAGGAAGTAACCCAAAGGGTATTCAAACGAATAAAATCTGGCAGATGGATATGTTCCACTTTGTAGAATTAAAAAAATTAAAACATGTACACCATATCATTTACACGTATTCAGGTTTTCAATGGGCAACTACTTTGAGTTCAGAAAAGGCTGACTTGGTAAACATACATTTACTAGTAGTTACAGC